AGATACCACAGTAGGTTTCTATCTGTAGTATTTAAGTTGGGTCAAGGTATTATTACCAGCCGAGTATTGCAATGCAATTCGATGCAAACTTGGTTGATTTGCAGCAGACATTCTTCAACCTGCTCTATGAATCAGAAAAAAGCTTTTTGTTTTTTTTCGACTAATACATCTGTTTTTCCCACCAAATACCAAATGAACTTTAGTAATCAATTCCCTCTGCATTTAGGAGGGAGGCCATCAATATCGTTTTAAAGACTCAAAACCATATTTTATATTATTAAGAACAAGCTCCATGTCAATGAAAGATCCCCTAAGACCTTGTTGTTTCCAGACTTCCAATGTGTTTCAGCCATGATTCAACAGTACACCAAATGGGAAAGAAGATAATAAACACATTTAAAGGGATATCTTTCTCTGCTGTATTTTATTTTTTTGCTCTTTTATTGCCCATTACTCCACATTCTGTCAAACACAAAACAAGCCTCTGCTTGGTGCTATATCTGCTGAAAAGCTGTGAGTTGTTGCTATGCAACTATTAAATACATCTGAGGTGAGCTTCTCTCGAGTTTCCTTCAACCTTTCAGTAACCTGTGCACTGAGTGCTGCAGGAACAGCACTTTCCTGATGCCGTCAGCTTTGCCCTCTTCCCTCTCTGTAAACAGGGGTCTCTGGTGAATAGTCTGCATACTGTGGAGTTCAAGATCTAGTGATAAAAACTCCCTCTCGGATCCCATTTGTAACAGACAGCGTGTTGGTTCAGCCAGCAGGGTTGAAAAAAAGCAACAGTAGACCAAATTTGGTAAAAAATATCTAGTTATTTTTATTTATTTTTTTACTTTCTTCTCTAAAAACAAAACAAATCTCTTTTTGCATGCTCAGCTGTTGCCATCACTCCCTTTATCAAGCATGAAGACTTCTCTTACAGTAGGCTGTAGGTAAACCTGTTCAGTCTGGTCTGCCTGCCACATGAAAATTACCTGTGCCTCGGTGCTGTTTAACCTGCCATATATGTGATCTCAAAATAAGATCCATTAGATACACCTCCTACAGAAAACAGGACAGAACAAGCCCCCTATCCTTACATGGCACTGATTTATAGTAGAAAACAATCAAAGGGTAGAAAGGCACAGATAGACTGATCTGACAACAGCAATGAGCCGTGCAAACACACCGCACACGTTGGCAGACAGTGTTATTAACACACCAGTGGAAAACACTTAACTCATGCCTATTCGATTATGCAAATGGTTACATATATAAATTACTCTGGATGGTTATTAGCTCTCTCAATTACAGTACCTGTGCCTGGCAAAGAGATGGAAGTGAACTGACGGCTAGTTTGCCATCCACAGTTGAAAACAAAAAGGACTGTTCAACTTGCCTGTAGCGCAAATGTTTGCATAAGAATGAGCAACTTTAGATATCTTTTCTACTTTTTAACCTCTAAAAGTTTAACACCTTTTCAACTTAGCTTTTTACAAATTATGATCATCCACAGAGACCTTCCATAATTTATGAGGAACTTGCAGAAATGTATATAAATGAATAAGCAGACTGTAGAAAGAACCTTTTGTAGAGGATGCAGATGTTTTTCAAAATGTATTCCAAATTAAAGTCCAACTTCAGTTAATAATTTACACCGTATTGAGGCTTGACATACATTATTCTAACATCTTAACTCTTCAAAGCAATATTATTTTTATTTTATTAATTATTTGTGATTTACCACATTATGTGCAGACCCAATATACCCGAGTTGATGTTTCATCAGTTATAGTAAATCAGTGCAGATTAAGAGAAAATTTAGGGCTATCCCTGAATATGATTTGATTTCCAAAGTCAAAAGAAGATGAGTTTTAACCATTCTTTTTTAGAAAAAAAAAATAAAAAATCAACAAACAGGGAAAAGCTACATTTCCCAAAACTGAGTCAGTTGGATAGATATATCAACGTGAACAGATAACGCTAGCTGTGATACTCTAGTTCCATGCTTATATGTTAACTTACTTGACGAAATCTGATTGTGCTGTGAGCAATATTAGAAATTATTCTGAGTTGTGTGCTTTGGATTCCTTCTGTTGTTAGTGTTAATTTCAAGTCCAGGCCCTGAAGTGGGCCTTTAAAAACCTTTAAAACAAATAAATAGAGGGTCAATTGTGCTTTCTCTTTGATAATTAGGACTAACAGCTGGAGACAAATTTTAAGCCTGAAGGTTTAATGCCTATAGTAAAATAAAAGATATTCCATTTCATTATTTGGCTTTTTTTAAAGCACTATTGAAAAATCTACCACAGCAGTTGCAAAAATGCACTGATATTTTGCTGTGATTCAATGGCACCTCAGCGATCTCTCCACTGACAGCCATATAAAGGGGTATGGCCAACCACAAAAACAGACAGATAACTTTGTAGAGGGCATATTTCGGTTGTGGCTTCAAGAAAACACAGCTCAATATCTCACAGAACGTAATTAGCGGATTCTTAAGCATAATTATTAATGACAAATTTAAACACAAATACAACATAATTTTCAATGTAATTGTTAACAAAAAGAAATATTAAGTTTAAACTGTTAAGTTGACATTTTTGTAGGTCGGTGTAAAAAATATTTTAGATAATATGATCAAAAAAGTCATCAAAACAACCTTGAAAAGGAAACAAGTGAAAAAAAGGTAAGTGCAGAAATTTTCCAAGTTGAGTTCCTTTGGCTTTTCAAGAATGATAAAGCTGATGATAAAAAGTAAATGATACATCAGAAGCATGAATCAGCTAAATGTAATTCTCTGAAGAAATACATTAAATATTCAGAAGAATTTATCTATAGCTGTACCACAGGCATAAAAGCTACAATAGCTCAACTAGTCAACCTGCTCCAGCACAGAGCAGCCTTCCATCTTCTTGGCTTATAACCTGCAGCACCTTACATGCCCTATGTAACCAAACCAAAGACCTCGCCCTTCTTTATATATAATCCAATCACATTACTGATTTTACAAAATAGATGTAGATCATTTCATATGGTGCTCTCCGCAGAAGGAGGTGCTGAAATCCAGCCTGCGCCTCTTGCTCTGCTCTACCCTATGGTTGCGCTGTCCATGGTTCTGAATCAGTGCTCCAGAGGCTGTTCTCATTGATGTGAAACGAGCATTTTTGTCGGCTGGCTGGCTGACTGGGCGGAGCGGCCCGGACCTTGGCTAAGCTGCGACCGTCTGAAAGCAGCAAACAAGCCAGAATCTCAGCAGGCGGGAAGCTCCACGCCCTGTTTGCTCTCTGAGCTGTCACACGTGTCACAGCACCATGCACAAATGGATAAGAGCGGAGGAGGAGAGGGGTGCATGATATGCATGGATGCAAAACCTCCTAACCTTCATGACCCTTACTTTGTTATTCACTCTCATGTTTTAACAAACTTTGTGTGTGAAAGAAAACCCTGAAATTACCTCATTGTTTCTTTTCCTAAAGTAAAAAAGGACAGCAAATCATAGTGGATGATGCAATGAGTCACAAAGAGAGTGGTCTGGATCCACTGGACCGAGAAAAGCAGTCTGTTGCTTTGGGCAGTAATGCTTTAGGCTCCAAGGATGCTTTATGATCCTCAAGTGATCAGGACATCCACACAAAGGTGCGTTTGTCGAGAGAAAAAAAACACAGTCTCTCTGCGTCATATTGTTACTGCTTTTAACTTTTACACTTCTCAGAAAAAGTGTGACTCGTGAATGTTATCCTTTATTTGGTGACTGAACTCTCAATGTTGCTCTGCAAGGTTAGGTGAAGGTCAAGTGGTTACTACACGATGCTATAGTATAGTGCTAAACTCATGAATAACCATCTGTTCAAAATAATACTGTTCTTCAACTATTGCCTTGAAACACACCATAAAAGCAAATAAAATTCAGGATAATGCAAACATGAGCAACTGTATTTTAATAATAAAAGTGAATGAATGATTGTACTAACTTCAATTCAGCAAAGTTATTGGCTGAAAAAGCAATCGGCTATTCCTAAGAAGCCACAGAAGCAGAGAAGTAAGGATTTAGAACAAGGAAAAATGGACCAGACACCAAACTAGTTTAAAGTAAAAAAAAAACTTAACAGGGGCTTTTACCCCCCTTAGTCTTCTAAATAAGCGAAAAAGAAAAGCAACAGGGCGAGCGGAAACAGGGAAGCTTTTTCAGCTTAAGACATGTTGATAAAACATCTACAGCACCTCAGTATGCATGGATGGAGGAAGGCAGAGAGACCGACTCGTTCATTTCAGGCGAATCAGGGATAATGAGGCCAAAGAGAGAGGGGGAAGCGATAAGGGATGACAGAGGGGGGAAATGACAAACAGCAGGCAAGACAGTGCAGTGATTCGATTACACTGTTAACTTCTCATTACATGACAAAGAAAGCAAACACAGACAAACGGGAAGCAGCAACACCAGATTCAAACTGGATACAAGTGGTAAATATGTCACATCTGTTGTCTTCTCTGAAGCTTAGTTATTGCTTCCACTGAGGAGCTGAGCCCAACCCTCATCCTAACCACCATGGACCAGATCAGATTGAGGTCCAAATACAGCCAGGTCCCAAGTAAAATAAAAAACAAAGATTTTTTATTTTTATTTTGAAACACTTATTTAACAAAAATAAAATTAAAAAAAATATTTGTACAGAAATCTTCCAAAGTCGGAAAAGGACGGAGAAAACCCCCCCACTGTTTACATCAAACTAATCTTATCTTTAAAGTGTAATTTTAGAATTAGTTTTCAGGAATGAAGGGGCCAACCTTTGACTTTTGTCACCTTTGATCAGAGCCTCCAAAATCCAACCTGACTTGTCAAGTTGGAGGTACAGCACAGTGTCCTGTGAGCCATGTTTATGAAACGCTCACACAAATCAGAAAATCTCCATTTCAAACGGCCAACCATGGCATGCATTCATTTCAAAGCAAAAAACATACAAAGGCAATGCCTGCATCTAAATGTGCCTGAATAATCTTTGATTTAAGTCTCCTACCTGGCAGCTTGCGGTTTTTCTTTGGGTTCTCTTCAAAATCCCAGGAAAGGCTTCTGACAAGTTCTGCTTGATGTTGCACTTTGAGAGGAAGGAAAAAGGGGAAAAACAAACATCAGTGGCTTGAAAAGAAATGTCCTTTTATTCACACACGACAGCTCAAGAAGCACTCACAATCACACACTTGAACACCCAGTCAGCAGCTCCAGTAAACGAGCGAGCAGCTCGCTGTTCCTTCCCTCTCTTACTGTCCGTGACACTCGCCTCCTCTCTTCCCGCCCACCTACTCCAGCCCCCTCCCCCATTCCCTGCTCTGACTCCTTTCTCTTCCCTACCGCTCCCTCTCTGCTGTCAGACAAAATGCACACAGCCCCTCGATCTCTTAGCTTACTATTTCTGACATTTTTCCCCCACCCACTCACACCTTCTGCTCCGTGAAAACAAATATCAGTCGGTGGTACTATTAGATGTGCATTTCCACACATCATTTACAAACTTGTTCTTGGGTTTATGAACCAATTCTGTGGATATTATCTGATGAAAGGAAACAAAGCCCCTGAGCAGGCTCAGTTATATTAGATGATGGGATTAATGAATAATCTTAATGAGGCATACACAGTCTATACGATTACTGTTTGAAACTGCTCTTTCCCTCTTATTTTTCTTTATTTCAGCCCCTTCGATGCCTCACTCCATTTATTTCTGGCTCTCCTCAGGAATCGCTGGTGCATCTGATGCTCCTCACGTCCCGTTCGGCAGACAGCTAGTCAAGGGCATTCCCAGACTAAGTGTATGCTAATGCTCTGCCTTGAGGAGCTGCCTAGCATCCTCCAGACACTCAGCCTGACCGGATGTGGCACTCGGATCTCCCAGAGAGGGGACAACAGCTGACAAAGCCAGATCAACGACACCTACAGGTTCTAACACATTTTTCTATATTGAAATGACATAGAAGGTGTTAGCTGTCAATCAATCTCGCAAAATTAAATTATATTTTTGTCCCTGTTCACAGTAACAGAATTATGTAGTAAACCATTGCAAGAGTTGAAATTTAGTGTTCGGGTTTTTAAAGCACAGAGTCATATGGTCCTGTTGACCACAGAAAATCACACACAGACAGAAAGGCCAACAGACACACAGAGTCAGGGCTAAAGCAAACAGGTAAAGTTTCTGTTAATGATTGCCAACTAGCACCCTGCCTGAACTCCACGCAGCTTGCTCTTCCTTAAATAAGCTTTGCCTCACTGCTGCGCATGGTTTAGGTGTTGTGCTCAGTGGATGTTTGGTGCCATTCGATTACTCGGTCCAGTGATGTACCCATTGCAAAGGTGTGGCTCAATAAACTCATACCTAGACTTAATGAGAGGAGGAATGAATCCATGTATAGAAAACATCTGAATCGTTTTAACACATATCCCCGCACTTTTTTTTTTACAAAATTGTAACTAGGGATCAGTACAGCTGTGTTGTATATCTCATCTGTTTGACTACAACTAATTTATGGCTTTAAGTCTTAAGCACAAATAAACAATCAATGGAAATGTTTTTTCCTCTTTTGATTTTAAACAAATACATTTTAAAATAAAAATCGCTGCTGTTGAACTGAATTGAAGTAGATTAAATTCAATTTATTTACTTTTTTGATGCATCTGAAAAGTGCCATATAATAGTCTAAAAACATAACTGACCATTTGACGTTCTTCAAGATCTTTGTTTGGATGAGTTGATCCAAGACACAGTTGAGGTAAAACAACAGGTGTGCCTGTCAGGCTTCTACAATAAGGATCTAAATACTCCTACCCTTGTCTTATGATGACATCTACTCCATTGTGAACAAAATTGACTTTTTTCCATCTTAACTCAAAACTTTAAGTGAGAAGTTTTGACAGCACACTATGGGTGCCAGGCTACCTGTCTCCCATCACCACCTTAAACAACATATATCTAGTGCCGGACACCTTCTCAGGATGCGAGATGGTCCTCACACAAATATAATGTTTGAAAGAAAGCTCAGAAGAGTATTTTTTGTGGTAACTTAAGAGGCATAACTTGTCTTGATAATAGTCTTCTAAATAGTGTTATCCACTCCACTGGTCATATCCACAGCTGTCTACAGTAGTTTGGCTCCACCTTAAAACAAGAGAAGGCCAAACTACAGGAACGACTGGGTTTATAATGTGGCTTATTATGGCTAACCTTCTTTATATCCAGGACTTCTACATCTAAGTCAGGAAATGGGCTTATTACATCTCTGCAGACTTTTGACATCCTGGTTAAACTGTTAGGACTTTTACCTTAAGACATTGGCTATAGAGCGCTAATTGCTCAAACTAGCCATCAGGGAGTCACTTTCTTCCCTTAGGTCGTCTCTCTGATCAGCACTTAACATTCAGAGTGCCCAGCCCTTAGCTGGGAATCAATACTATGAATACTTGCATTTCTTTAATGTGTTTCTGTGTAGTAATAAGGCACATATACATATTTCTTAAAAAGAATAGAAATCTTTTATGAAAGTATGCCTATATATGGGTATTGAAAGAATAGTGGAACCAAAGTAATATTGTGCACAAACCCATAAGGCTCAATTTGATTCTAAAAAACTGATTCTAAACATAATAGAACAGAAAATAGAGAAAAATGATGCATGTCAAAAACTTTTCCTAGAATCAGACCTTCCTAAAGAAAGTAACAAAGTTACTAGAGTCAGATTTTTCTAATACAGTTATCAAAATTACATGCGTTAATAACACAAAATCATTTACTGGATAAAGCAAAACACATGTTAGGAACTTTGTGCAGTATTTCAAACAAAGATTTCCAATGTTTGTTTCAAGCGATACCAATAATGATGGCATGTTGATCATGTCTAGTATTAAAAATATATTCTTTTATTTTAATCCAGACCTGGAAAATTCTCAACCTAAAGGAAGCTCTGTGCAAGCTTGAGCAACAACAGCTGTCATATCTGCTTCTACTGTATGGACTTTTTGGGTTTTTTCAACTTTTTATTTTGGATTTTCGTTTTGCTTTGATTTTGGTTGTCATGTGTTGCTGATTTTTATATATTTTTTAAATACTTCTTGGTTACTCTTCCTTGGTGTTTAATTTAGCTGTTCTCTTTTCAGCATTCCTGTTATTTATTTAGTCTGTGCTTTAGTTGTTCCTATTATGGTTTTCTGTTAGATTATGCATTGCATATCATTAATCTAAATTTCTCCAGTCCCTTTCCCATCCTCTAGTTTTCTCTTTTGGTCATTCTGTGTTTCTTAGTCATCAGTTTATTTTGCCTTTTATGTCATATTAGTTCTTCCCAGCGCTATTGTATTTCCCGGGTTACTCTATGTTGCCCTCTAGTGCTCCTCTTCTTTTTCCTTAGCTCTCTTCAAGTCTTTCTGTACAGACCTGCTCCCAATTAGCTGATTACTCCATTCATTGTTCTGTCTCCATATATACTCCTCCTCTGCATTTACTCTTTTCTAGTTTGTCTTCTTTCCTCATGTATTTCTCTCTCATGCATCTACTTGCTTTGATTCCTGAGTTCCCTGCCAGTTATTTCTCAATTATTCTTCTGTTTCAATCTATTTCATCATTAAAACTGCAAGAAACAATCTCTGTCTTCCATCTCTGTATTTTGGTCCTCTACAAACATCTATTAAATGTGGCAATAACTAGCTGCTATCAAATGTTATATCTACCACCGGTTCTTACTAAACATTCTATTCAGTCTGTCACCGATAAAATGCCTTGGAAAGCAATTAAAAAGCACTGGCACAGAAATTAGCTAAAAGGAGGAAAGGCTTCCAAAATAATCCATGTAAATCTAACCAAAGTATTTCATGCTAACTGCTCCTGGATGGCGCTTTAAAATACGTTCTTTGAGACACTTATTTCACAGCTTAACTTGGCTAAATCCCTTTTACTTTAGTACTATATTTTTCCAGTTCCCAAAAATTGTGTTAACCGATTTTTCTTAAAGTAAACAAGCCCAATAAGGCTTTTTCAAAAGAATATCTACCCTTTAAGAGCACGGCATCAGGGATGATGTCTCATTTTTGCCAAGGATACAAAAAAAAAAAAAAAAAACGTTACAAGACTGATTTGGGTTTTCTTTTTTCTTTTTTTGCTATATGATAGGAAAGCATTTAATTTCAAATAATGGACAGGAAATGTGAACCAAACAAAGGCTGAAAACCCATTAATGGTAGACTTCCTTTACAGAAGAAAGAAGGATGAAAATGTGGATAGACTAACAGAGTAGAACGGTACTGAATGGGGTGAAATGGCATTTAGAAGGAGACAAAACCCGTAGAATAAAAAAGAGACGGGTGAACAAATGGACAATTTCCAAAAATGTCAGAAGCATTGCAGCGGTCACCTTTGGACAGAGCAAATGACTGGTCTTATTCAACCTAAAGAGAGGATTCAAGAGGCAGAAGTTATCTTTTCAACTGAGTATAACAAACTATGAGTCAATAAATGGTTATTAGTTTTTACAAACTGCAAATCCTAAATTACTGAAAAGCAAAAGTTAAAGCATTATGTCTCTGTTTTATTTACAATCTAGAAACATTTTAGTTTCATGTAAATGAATAATCAAACACTGCTTTTTCACATTCTTTAATGTAACTGTTTGCATAAGCAGCATATTTTCACATTGGTACTGTAAATTGTATGATGTTTAAATGACAGAAATTCAAAAATAACTGACATTTCTGTAAAGTTTCTATAACATTTTCAGACTTCATCAATAAGTTAAATTACTTGTTTTCACTTAAACCTCCTCCCCCCATCCATATATGCACAAAACCTTTTAAGTTTCCATTTCATTAAACATAAATGCCATTAGTACTGTTGTCCATGTTGACTATTTTACAGGTGCTGTCTCCTAACATATATATATAAACTTTATAGACATAAACTTCCTTTTACATCTTAAAACAAAGATTAGTTTAAAGTTAGAGCTGCAAAAATATTCAACCCAGACAGAAATATGAAGAAATTCCATAGTGATATTAAGTTTATAGATCAAAGATGTAAGGTATTCAGTTTTGCATGAAGGGTTTTTTACTACAAAAGTAAAA